TGATGGGCCGCCCTGGCGCGCGCGACTATATAGCAGGAGGGTTGCTGCGTTGGCAGGAACAACACAAAAGGGGCCCGCGGGGTGAGGAGGGGATTGTCGTGTGCTCTTTTTTCTCTTTGCTGTCATAGTCCACGGGGCTCATTGTAGGTTTTGGTCCCTTTCTCTCTGGAGTATTCGGGTTGCTATCACTGGCTGATGCTATTGAGACGGTTTGAAAAAAAAAAAAAACAAGTAATTTAGAACATTGTTGATTTAATAATAGAAATAGAGCTTCAGCCATTTCATATATAGTCCACACTTTTATTTGTATAGGCTGGGGAAAAACAAAAAAGTGTAAGTCAGGGAGCAAAAAAAAGCAGAGTCTTAACATTGTAAATATAAAATTAATCTGTCAGATCTATCAAGGGACATGTGTGCCACAATATTGAATACTAATTGTTAATAGGAAGGAAATGACCTTAATGGAATGTTGAAGATTTCAACTTAGTCCTTTAAGAGAATTTTCTTATTAAAGGGTGTAAGAAATTGGAATGTTTTACCAAGGGAATTCACAGAACTTCAAACATGCAGTATGGTAAAAACAAAAACAAAAACAAAAACAAAACAAAACCAAACCAAAAAATCCCAGCAAGCCCAGATCTTCAGTATTTGGTCTGAATTTGTTACAGTCTGGAAGTAGACTGAGGATTAGAGGTTTCATCTTGGCTAATTGTAATTTAAAAGGGAGAATAGTTTTAAGAGGCTTCCTCTCAGAAAGAACTAAAAAGGAGATTTCTAACTTGGACAAGATAAGAAAAAGTTACAACACAAAAATCAATAACCTCTCAGGTTATTATAAAATAAAACCAAATTCCTAAGAAATCCATTTCTAGGAGGAATCTAGATAGACCTTTTCCTCGGGGAACAAGAGTACACAAAACTTTTGACTCAACAGAGATTAATTGCATGAACACAAAGAGGAGCTACAGCAAAAATGGGGAGAGGAAGGAATAAATCTGGAAGCTGAGACTCTAGGAAGACTTTAGAAAGTATTTATTAGCCTGGAAGATAATAGTTTGATGGACTGGAAGGAGCACTGGAGTGGAAGATGACCTATGACTTTAGCCTCTTTCATGTTCAAAGAATTATTCACAGTCCTGTGTTGTCTCATGGAAATACTTTGTCTTGACTTTGGGTCATAAGTCTTTGTAAGTTGGTATTTATAAATAAAACACCAGCTCTGTGCAATATGATGATTTCAGTTCTTGTTATCCACTATAGATAGGCATATGTTTGCAAAATTACTTCCGTTTACAGAGTGGAAAATAAGCAGCCCAAATCAAAAGAATAAAAAAAAATAATGATTTTAATTAAAAATTTAAAAAATAATAGTTAACAAAATAAAAATTTTAAAATTGCCATTTTGCTCAGAGTTGTTTCTGTGGGGAAAGTGTTGATCGATAAAAAACAGTAAAACATGAGAAAGAAGCGAATGCAGAGTCCCAGAGAACACTTAGAGGAGCGGGGGGGGGGGGGGGGATGGCTGTGGGGACCTCCGCTACCATAGCTGACATACAATTACAGATTTGGGATACATCTGGAGGGCCAAAACAAGGGGACTCTGCATTTGGTTTTTTCATTGACTAGGAAGAGAAAAGGCTTTATTTCAGCCTGGGGAAAGAAACAGGGAAAAAGAAAAAAAAAAACAACTCACAGTTTTCATCAAGCTGAAAAATGAATGGCTTGGGCCAAAATGTGGCTTGATTTTAATGTTTTACAGAAAATTCTGGCATTGACAAGTGTGTGCTCAACCGAAGCCCCAAGTTGCACTTAGTGTGCTAAGTGAGCAGAAGTTAAGACTTGAGAATCCTTACGCCTATAGCCCTGAAGCAGGGTTCTGTACAAGCTGCTGGAATGACTGATGGGGACCGTGTTGGAAGGAGAATAAGAGATAAGCATCAGGCACCCTCAACCTGAGCTCTAGTCTGTCAAGTAACCCTTTGTCACTCCTAAATATTCAGGTGGTTTCCAACAAAGGTGAAGGCAAAAGGCACGAGTTCAGGTTAGAGTTTTGCTGCATGCAGGGTCAAAGGTTTCTGTAGCTGCTGTAAATGTCAGTCTATAAAACTAAGTATATAAGAAATACCACTTTCCTTATTTCCTAGAGCTCGAAATATTTTATGAATCTAAGTCTCATTCCACTAGCATGGAGAGAAAATTTCACTGTAGTCATTGCTGGGGTTTCGTCACCTCATGTTTCCAAGCTCCGTGTTTGGGTTCTGTGGGCTTAACGTGAGACCAAGGCATCTCATAGGGGGAGAGGGTGCACTGGGAACTCCCGGGCTGTCCTCGGTGGTGGCTCTCCCCAGCTTTCACACCAGCATGGAAATAAAAACTGGCGGCTCCGAGGGCTGTGGAACTGGGATGTGTTTTATTTGGCCAGCATAATGTTTAGATGTTCTCCATGATGCTTTGGGATGGTTTGCACTTTCCACAGCTCACCATACTCTTCATCACTCCTTGTGGTCTTAAAGGAAGTTGTTTTGCTCATGTACATCATCTCTCTGGCCCCTGAAGGTATTGAGCTGCAACCTCAATCAAGAGTCTTCAAACTCTGCTCAGTTTTTGCCAAATGAAAACACTATACAGCAGAGCAAATTCCATATTTTATTAGGAACTTGTGTATTTGGGGGTGTTATGATGTCCTTTTGTAAATATCTCTTCTTTTATAAAATAATGTATGAGTAGATGGTGCTTAGTTTTACGATTTTGTTGTTTTGTTTTTAATCTTAAAGGTCCTTGCTTGGCGAAATAAAAATTGGCAAGTCTGTGTTGGTTTCTGTTTAAATAAAACTGGTCTGGGATATCTAAAATATTGAGAACCATTTGATTTGATATCATGATTTAAGCTATTTGGTATCATAAGAAATATGTAAATAAATATTACTGCATTTGTTTCCCCTAGAAATTTGTCTTGGGATGACTTTAAAGTACTAAATAAAAGTACTTGATAAAAGTGATTACATATGTATTATTTAGTACTTGAGAAGTACTTGACTTTAAAAAGTGATTACATGGGCGCCTGGGTGGCTCAGT